AATTTCAGTCTCTCGATGTGCAAAACTGATAGAGACATACCCCAAGCGACTTGCAGCTGTAATCGCAGCAAAAGGTGGCTCTACAAAGTATTAACGCAAGGGGGCCGAATAATTTTGCACACCCCACTTTTCATTTTTTTATTAGTTAAAAAAGTTTCAAAAAGCCAATAGATTTCGTTCCACTTCACAATTGTGTCCCACTTGTTGGTGATTCTTCACATAAAATAAAAAATTTATATCTTTATGTTTGAAGCCTGAAAAGTGGCAAAAGGTTGAAAAGTTCAAGGGGGCCGAATACTTTCGCAAGGCACTGTAGATGTTACATAATGTCTTAAGGGCATGTGTACTTTCTGTTTTGTCATTGTTCTTTCCAAAGGAAAGAAATAGTTGTAAAAATATATGATTTCATATGATGGATGCTTTCAGGAAATAGAATTTGGCCAGATCACTTTTTGAAGAGTGATGAACTTATGTAGAATTAACTGTATGTACATTGAGCAGGAGAATAAACATACCCAGAAATGAAACCAGTTTGTATTGGTGAGCCGTGTTATAGGCTAATCTCTTTTTGTCTACTTATTTTACGATATTCCATGCAGAAAACTTAAGACTGCTTTAAGATTCACAAGGTACTGTGACTGAAGTGTGACTGCTTATTCATGTGATGGTCTGATATTCACGGTCTACCCTCTCAACCATGGTCCCTGAAGAGGCCCACCCCTGTCCCAAGCCAGACCCCCCCAGGAGCGCCACCATCTCCATGGGGAGTCTGACGCCCATCAAATCCACGCCCATCCTCAACAACGGCTCGCCCACCATCCTGGGCAAGAGGAGCTACGAGCAGCACAACGGGCTGGACGGTGAGTGGCCCTCTGGGGTGCTGGCGCAGGCAGAGGGGGAGTGCCGTTCACACGCCTTACACCCTGAGGCTTTGATTGGCCGAGACTGGTAAACAAACGTGTACGTGCAAGAGACCTGTCTTAACACACTTTCTCATGGTAGGTAAAAGACGGCTCAAGGCTGGCTCTTGTTATAGGAGCCACTATAGCCTTAAATTAAAAAAAACACATTGCACGTGTGAGACAAGATGTACATAAATTTTTTTTTAATTTCTGCAGTTTCTGCAGTAAGATCAGTTATTTTAATTATTGATTAGGAATGGACCTGTCTTCATGTTAAATTCCCATTTTGCACAGTAGTACCATTACTTGAATTCTTTGATTGCTTTTTTGTCATCTTTGGCGTATATGTTTTAATTAATTACCGTGTTTCTTGTGCTTAGTAAGCCCTTGATCAGCAGGAGACATTCCAGCCCCGTGTGGCAGAAATATGAAGTGCATGTTTTAGGTGGCAGCACCCTGGTTAAATCACTGCGATCAGTTTTGGAATCGAGGGTTTCAAATGAGAGGTGGCCACTGGGCTCTTCCTACTCATTCGATTCCAGCAAATTGATCCCAGAATGTCATGTATCGTTTCTGGGAGGATCCCACAAAGTCTGCTCCAGCAACATGGCACGGTAACAAGTTCCAGCTGTGTTTCTGCAAGCCCAGCTCTGTTTCTTTACAGCTGGCCTAGAGAATGTCTGCTGTGGATCTCACACAGCTCAGGGAATTTAGCGCAGAAACCAGGTGGGTTGTTTGGCTGTTTTCTCTCGGTTTAAGAACTGGTCCTTCGTAGAAAAACCTCTTTAGACTCCATAGTTGCAGCAGTATTTATCAGACCTTTTCTTGGACCCCAACTGTCACCTCAGGAAAGATAAGCAAATATTTTATTCAAAATCCTTATTGTATAATCTCTGCATTGACAGTCAATGGCCATTAAACTGTTCACCAGTTGAAAGTTTGAATGGAAGTCGTTTCCAATATTTGGTTAATAAGAAGGCGATAGTATATCTCCCTCCTCCAGACTTCACCTGTTTTGCTGTTTTCTAGACAGGTGTTGCTTTAGTTCCTTTTGTTGGCGCCTATCCAATGAACATTATATTGAGAGATTAATTCTGCTCTTCATGAAAATAAACACAAAATCATAACTCTTTGCACTCTGGCCTGCATTTCCGAATGAGTGATCTGCATTGTAACTTTGGTTGATCGCCCATACACATGCATATAGTCGCCCGTACAGGCTGTGAATGTGCTGCAGTCTGGACTGGGTCAGATCCAGGCCTATGTGTGTGAAGTCGTATGGCGTTGTGCAAGTCAGCTAACTATAGTGCTCATGGGTCATCATAGTTAGCTTGGTTCAGCTTGTGTTCCTCCTGCAGTCTGCAAGAATGCTAATCTAAGCAATCTGTCTCAACAAAAATCCAAAAGTTTCTTCCATGAGATAATTATTCATCAACAAAATCCATCATCCCCTGTGTTGTCAATGAATTGTGACAGGAGTTTAATAGCAATTTGTAAAAAAGGATTTATTCTTTGCAGTTTATCCTGTGCCTATGTCTGTGATGAAAAAAGCTCATAAATGGTTTAGATTTACCTTATCTTTGCTATCTATGACAGTCAGAAGAATATTGTAAATATAGGAGTACTATATATGAATATATAGGAAAATTCTTAAGCATTTTGTATTGAAAATGGCATTTTCTTGAGACTTAATGTTTAGTTTTAGGCTAGAAAGGCCATTTGAACTTACTGCTGCACTGGTTTTATGTTAATTAATTCATAAATAAACACAAAATGCTTCTATGACAGGGGTATCAGACTCACTTTGTGGAGAATCTAGTGTATGCTCATTTTTCTTCCAATCTGAGTCATCAGTTAAGCTAATTATTCTGGCAAAGTTGTTACTTATGGTCTTTTGCTCAAAACCCTTCATTAAAGGTCATTAAAACCTTCTAAATCTATATTGGAAACATATTGCCTAGTTGCCTTCAGAATTTGCACAGTAAATAGATTGGAAGTGTTTAATCATTCTGAATGAGCACACCTATCATTATAAGGATATATATATCCTCTTTGTGTGAATTTCCCACCATTGGACATGTAAAGCAATATGAAGACAAGCTTCCATAACAACTAAGGATCAGAGTTCTGGACAGGCACAAGTTAGGCGCAGGATATAAAAAAACATTAAAATATCCTGAGTATCCTACGGAGCAATCAATTATCAGAAATTGGAGGATACATAGAACTTGACAGAATCTTCAATAACCAGGTCGTCTCCCAAACCTCAGCAGCAGAGCAAGAAGGACACTGGCCAGGGAAGCAGTCAAGAGACCCACAGAGACCTACACTAGAGACCTACACTATCTCATTATTGACATTACAAAACTGTGAGTGCGTTCTCAATAGCTCACTATAGTACTCAACAAATCTGGGTTGTAGAGTGGCAGGAAGGAAGACATTTTACATGAAATCCCATCTTGACTATGCAAAAAGGCATGTAGAGTAGGAGCACATGAGACAGTGTGAAAAGACTGTGCTCTGATTAGACAGAGATTTAGTTATTTGGCCTTTTTTGCCAAGCAACGTGTCTTGCAAAGAAAAACAATGCTCTTCATTTGCAAAACACCATTCTTACATTGAAGCATGGGTTGTGGGTTTGCTTTTCCTCAGCAGACTGGTATGCTTGTCAAAATAGAGCACAGAATGAATGGAGCAAAGTATAGGCAGATCCTGGAGCAAAACCTGGAACAACATCAATCTGGTACAGAGATTCATATTTCAGCATGACAGTGACCCCAAATACAAAGCCAAAGCAATCCTTGAGAGGCTTAAAAAAAGTAGAGTAGAGGTCCAAGAGGGGTCAGTATGTTCTACGTCCACTGTATTTATACACTTCTGAGCTGAGTTCCCAGTTCTACACTTACGCAGTTTGTTGTAATTAGACCCACTATGTATCTCAGAGCTCAAAGTGGACAAAAGCTAGAGGACCCCTGTTCTGTTACCACCTGGCTTGGTAACTTTTTCAAACACATCATTCACCTTTCTTTGTGTCCCTAAGTGCTCCAAACCTAACTGGGAATTATATGAACCAGACTGTGGTTCAGTGATAAATCATTATCCCAAGACACCCAACAAATCCATCTCCACAGGTGCTGTTAAGTGGCTTCTGCATCCTGTAAGCTCGTCACATCTGTGAGGAACGACACTGTGCTGTCAGCAGGGGTGAACTGATGAACAGTCAAATTTGGAAAAAAATGAGTTAACTTTAAAAGCAGTGGCAATTACAAAACTATGTACTGTGTGCTAGGCAAATATCAGCCAGGAAGGGGCAGTAGTGTTCATATTTCTGTTACATTCATACAGAGAAGCATTTACAGTGGATTGAGTTTGCTATTGATGCCTCCTTCTACCTCTTTCACACATACATTGTAGAACACCCAAAGGGTTGCTGCTGGGATTCTATGTTGCCTTAATTCAAAGCGAATAAGAGGCTGGAATGGGAGGAAGGGGGCATTCTCTGTGTGTTTCATGGGGAGATGGTGTTGAGGCCCTGGCATCGGTCCAGAAGCTCAGTGCAGTCTCTGTGATTGATCACAGCGCGTTGAATGCCTATGCCAGTGTAGTGCTCTGCCCAGGCTGCTTATGCAGTGTTCAGAAGGGCGTTCTGCCAGGTTGTGTTTTACCCCAGCCTGTTCCACACACACTTGAGTTACTTCACAAACAAGAGTCACCTTGCAATATTACTGCTTTCATGTGCTGGAATAACCAGTTTGAAATAGCTTCTAGCAGTTTGCTGGCCACTTTCATTTTGTAGATTTTTATTTTAACGGTAAAAAGACATTGAAATAAGATGATTCATTTTTGGGGATGTAAGAATATAATTCCTGTAATATGATCATATAATTCCTTATATGAATTTCGATAGATTTAAAACAGATAATGCTCCCAATTTGTAACTGGTCATAGGATCCTGTCTATTGTTTAAAGGTGAATTGCAGTTCTTGTTTCTCAGACTGGTTACTAAATCTTGGTAAAGAAATAAATTCATTGAGGATCTAGAAAACCTTTCACATCATGAACTTTGTGAAAGTACTGTAAGTCACCATGTTGTTGCAAACCCCTGGTCTCGCCAGGGGCGAGAGCGAGAGTTCCCACGAACTCTGAAGTGATCCGGCCCTTCCTGCTCACTTGTCGCTGTGATGACTATAGTAATGCGATGTACAAGTGAATTAAGTACAGGTTGTGACGAAGAATTTTAACCACAAAAAGTTTCCAATGTGATCTGCGTGCAGAGCTAACAAGTAAGTTCCATTTATCAGCAAAACCATCTCTTGAAGTCAAGGGCAATGTTTCTATTGGATTAACAGCGATGTATTCACAGGCTGGCTCCACGTCACCTCACTGGAAGTTTGGACCTCTTTAGTTACAGTACTGTCTGCCTAGTGGCTAGGACCTAGCATTTGTCTTGGCCAAGTGACAACGATCAACCTAATCTCTTTTACAGTAGACCTTCCATCACCTTCTGTTCTCGTATAGAATTAAATCTTAATACTCTCTACATTTTCCAAAGCGATGCTTGTGTGAAAAGAGCTTTTAATTTATTTAACTCAATATCCGTTTTTGTCTAAGTCTCATTTTGCTTTTTTTGTAATTTCAGAATCTAAAGAATATTTAAATAACTGACATTTCCACAGTTTGATAAAATGTGTATTTTATCTAACATTTCGTCAGTTAGATAAAGTATCTCGTAATGGACAGTTGATACATTCAGGCATAAGTGGAGGAAACTACAGAATCTCTGCTTCTTCTTTGTGGTATGGCAACTAATATTGATTCTGCACAAAAAATCTCATTGGTCAGCTGTTTACTGAGATCTACACCCCACCCCTACAATAGTATTGGTCCTCTGTTTAAAAAAACGTAGAGATAGCTGCCCCCAGATAATTCACTTTATATTGTTTTTTAGTTTTATTAATATACTGATCCTGTTTTATTAAACATAATGAATATTATATTATACTTCAAAGGAACAAGTAATAGGTTTATTCCATGCTGAAAAAAACACAACGTTTCGGCTGTGGAGCCTTCTTCATGTGTCTTCTTGTCTTCTCGACACCTGAAGAAGGCTCCCCAGCCGAAACGTTGTGTTCTCTTTCTTCTTTAGTTTCAGCATGGAATAAACCTGTTACTTGTTCCTTTGCAGCCTACGCATGCTGACGCAGCTACCCACCTGATTATATTATACTTGCTTTACTAGGAGTGAATAAGAACATAGTTGTTTGTTACTAAGTTACTTTAGCCCATTGTTGTGTCTTGAAACTTGCATTTTTTTGGAATGATCGTATTATATTTTGCAGCCTGCCTTTGCCAGCTTCCCACTGTTTTAGCTGTTCTCACAGTACTTGAGAATAAGCGGAATAACCTGACACTGCCTCTGTCTGCTGATCGAGCAAGTACTGCAGGTTATTTGCCAGCATTCCCTTAGCTGGAAGGGCCTGGGAGAAAGCGGCTCTCCCACAGTTATTCTAAAGAATTCCACCTCTGTGTGGGCACTTTTAGACACAAATCATTTAATTTGCTGCACAAAGTGGCTGCATTGTTGCAAGGAACAACTGCTGGGATGAATTGACGTGGCGTCATTCAGTGCCAGCAACCTCCAAAGGTCTTATGACAGAAGTCAACACACAAACGCATGCCTGAGGGTGTTCAAATGACTGGGCCATGGTCTCACTTACTGTACACAGGAGAACTACTGTGAGAGGCCTGTTGGCTTGCTGTTGTATTAACATCATATTGTCTGACCTGTGGGAAAGTTTCCTTTCTCGTTCACAAATGCACGACGTCACACTGTGTCAAATGAAAAGGAACATTCTTGCATTCCTCCTGCAACGTCAAAGTTTTCAATGTGGCCGCCATGGTAGGCTCTAGAGGAGTCCTGTAGCACTTCTTTTCCTTTTACTGTAACTTGGAGCATCACAGGCCACTGAATTCCACACATTCCGAGATATTTCTAGATCCACCGCAGTGATGATAAGTTTGGTATTTTCATTTGTCCTCACGGTGCACATTTTTTAGTTTAGGGTGTTGTGATCCCATTTCACCGTTGAAGTTTCCTTTCAGCTGAATTAGTCTCCATTTTCTTAGTTCCTCTATGACCTGCAATACATGAATTCAAGATTAAAAGCATTGCAATCATGTTGAGCTATGATAGCTGTGCAGCACATGTTTCTAGCATTAGAGAGTATGTTCTTTTACAATTTGAAGTCAGGTTACAAGTGAAACTGTAGCTTCCGTAGTCTTGAATTTCTACTGGACATTTGTTGATCAAGCACCCTCTGCAAACAACAGTTTTACTTGTTCTGCACAACATTTATTTGTGTAGGGAAGTGTCTCCTGTTCTTAGTCCCTATCTGACTTGTGCGGAACTTATACTAACTTGCCAGTGTGCCTCCTTGTCCTAACCTATGTTACACAGTCTGTTTGTGTGTTGGTCCCTTTCAAGATTTGGATAACTTCTATTTAATAAAATCATGATAAGCTGTTTTCCTAAGCATGCCACTGTCTCACATTAATTCCTTTCTGACCACTCCGATCTTGAAACAGGTGGAAAAAAGAGCAGATACAAGCACAGCAGTATCCTGCAACTTGGCTTTTTGCATGACACAGGGCTGCATCCAAATACAGGTGCAGAAGGATGAAGTATTGTATACGTTGAAGCCACAGACGTGTTGTAAGAGAATGGGACAATTCAAAAGTGTTTGATCGTGGTAGCTTTAGTGTGGCCGAGCTCTTTACAGACGCATAATAAATGAAGTGCATGGATTTATGTCCATTGGTAAAATATTGTATGTTGATTGTACCTTAAAAATATTCTAAGTGGCTTTGATCAAGATGAAGTACTTTTTTTTCTACTAAAAATACTGAAAAAGCAGGGGTTGTATAAAGCCATTGCAAAATATTTGTGTTTAAACAGTCTGTGTTGTCAGACATTGAATTGTCATCTAATGCTTAAACACATACTGTAACATTTAATCTGCAGGATAAGTCTTATGAATGCTGTAGCATACAGAATAAAATAATAGGGACCAGACTGTATCTGTTCCTTTTACACAGGTACTGAGATTCGTTCACAACATAAGAAATAGGAGATAAGACAGATTAGAGTGCTATGGTCACTTATTTAGTCTTCTTCAATGTGGTACTGGTTTTGTTTTGGTTGTTTTTCTTTAATCTGGACTCACAAGATCTATTCTCTTTCATGTTGTTAGGTATACCTAACCATGGACAAACCAGACAGATGGTAAGAGAATGTTCTTCAACACTAATGGGCTCTAACTGGCGATGCTCGGTGGTGCTTTAGCAGTAGAAAGACCAGGAGGGGGCGCTATCTTTGCACAGGTGCATAGCGGGGGCCTCTCTGTCCAGACAAGAAGCCCTGCTGTAGACTCTTGGAGTCTTTACTGCTTCAACCCCTTCCCCTTTGAGGAAAATTGACTCAGTTCTGAAGCATCCCCACATGTGTAGTGCAATATGTATAGGGAAAAAACTGTAAAAGCTCCTTTTATCTTGTTAAATATTGCACACATTTTTGTGGTTTTAGTGCTTTGGCTCGTTTGTCTGGTTCCATCTGCAGTGGTGCGCAGGGGCAGTTGGTGTCATGGTGCAGCGAGGAGACGGCAGGTTTGAAGTCTTGCCTTTGCTGTTTTTCACAGGGTTGCAAGCGGACTTGCAAGCGGGAGACGTTGTGTTCCCGATTATCTTGAGGTTTTTGAGCATTTAAGATCCCACTTGGACTACGCATTCACACGTGTATCATTACCAAATGAGGCAGTGTTCGTCAGTACCAGTCCGTCACACTCGACTCGAAGACTTGGGGTCTTCCACGGTGCTTCACCGGGAGTGCCGTTTCATTGTCAAAGTACATGGGTGTGAGTTTGCTCCAGTAGGCGGCAATGTGGGGCACATTGAGTCAGCTCAAGTCTGGGAAGACTGCTCTTCTTCAGCATTGCAGGCAGGGCTGTGTGGGCTCTTGCTATGTACTTTTTCTTCTCAGCAAAATGCACGATGAATCATTTCAATCAGTCAGTTTTGTCTTTGCCTAAGTAAATTCCAGCCCTCCCCAAAAGAAAACTATCATGGTAAAATTCTGTCCATGCAAGTGTATGGTTATATGTATTGTGTTGCATATTATGGGATTTTTGACTAAAATATAAAGGTACAGTAACAATAATGGGCTACATCTTGTGTGTGGGGCCTTGAACACTTGTGGTTTGAATCTCGTGGTGGGTAATTGCTATATATCCCAAGAACGTTTCTATTAGTTAAAGATCTAGCTGCCTGTTTTAAAGTTTCTTTTTCAGAAACGTTCCTCAGGTTAGTACTAAAAACTGTGTATTGAGTAAGGCATATGAAAGGAATTTTTCTTTCTTCTGAGCAGTCACCTCAGTTGTACAGACTCTCGCAACTGAAAATGTCCTCATATAGACATACATATTTTAAAAAGAAGCGACGTCCGCCACCACGTGGCAGTGTAAGAGTCCAGAGGGTGATTCACGGCATGTGTCTGTGAAGGTGAGAGGACAGATGAGGAGGCTGGGCAGTGACAGAGTGTGTTGGACATACAATATGGGGCGTGACGTTTGTTTCCACTCGATCTTCTTGTGCCACATTATCTTAGATGTCACAATAGCCTAGGGCTCTAAAGCTCTGGTCATCGGATTCATTTAAGGAGGAACATGGCTCAAGTAGCACTTAAAAAGTCAACCCAGAATATTTCTTCAGAATCAACAGTGAAATACCAACTGTAAGGCACAAGTGGAAACCATGTGGAAGTGCGTTTAAAACCAAGAACAGGAGGCACTTCTTTACCCAAAGTGTTGTGGGAGCGTGGAACAAGCTGCCCAGCCATGTTTGTGGATCAGGTCCTTGGATCAGTAAGCTACTAACTAAACCAGGTGGATGGGCCGAAGGGACTCCTCTCGTCTGTATCCTTCTGTTTTTAAAAGGTTTAATGTTCTCTAGAACTAGCTTGGGTTTGAAGTGGAGAAACTTTCCAAAATGTTGTTGGTACTACTGGCCGCGTTATACTGGATCCACATAAAGGTGAAAACAGACACTGTGAGAGATGAGAGATTTTTTACAGTCATTTTATTGCACATACTGCTGTTACACGATGACAGTAAGAAATAAGTGAAATACGTTTTTAAAGCATCTGAGAAAGAAATGTGATAGCTAAGTCATAACAGAACATACCACAGCATATTCTCTTTAGATGGTGTGACCTTAGTTGTGGTCTCAGTGTGAACATAGGAATTAAAGCAGCAGATGAGAGGATGCCTTTTGGCACATGTAGCTTATTTGGGTTTGATTTAATATGAGATTAGATATGAGAAACTCACACTTTAAGAAGAAATTAAGTTAGTTTATCTTGGTAATGTCCCACATTCACACCACGGGGGGGTTTCAGTGTGCAGGGAAAATTCTTAAAATATTTTACTGTTTTAGCTACATTCATTATTTTTCTTATTTATGAAATTGGCAGGCTAATGTGAATCTTGATGGAAGTATTCCTTCATGGTCTCTCCTAGACATATAACCAACTCTCTAAAGGAATAGTGAAACTGTTCAACTTTCTGTTGAAAGTAGTTCTTATTTAGGAAGATATTGTGGACATGGACTTTCCTACTTTTTTCCCCATAGTTACTTGGTAAAAATCGTGGCCCGTGGTTCCAAACGTATATTCCTCAAATTTTTAATTTACCCCCTACTGTCAAGCACAGGAGAACAGGACACAACTTGACATAAGCCCATTTCAGTTATTTGCATGCAGCTGTCTTGTTGTTTTCATTCCATTTTAATATTTTCTTAATTCTTTTTTTTTCTCAGTAGATTGATTAAATGGCAGAAAGAGTGGCAGCTCAGGAGTTTGTTTTGATTTAATTTTACGCGCACCCATTTTCAGTTGACTTTCTCTCTCGGCCCCCGTTAGGGTGGCTGAGCTAGCTGAGAGTGCAGGCGTCCATTAGCCTGGTGGGGATGCTCCACAGCTGAATTAATTTTCCCTTCAGCATGTAAGCTTCTGTTTTCTTTTTCCTTATAGTTTCTGTGTTCTCATTGCTCACTCACTTTGTGCAAAATGTTCAGAATTTTGCAGCTCTTGTTTTAATTGGTGATTGATTTGTGTTTCCTGCTTCTTTGTCTTTATTTTATTTATTTTTTGACATTTAGACATTTTAGATTTAGAGAACCCCTCCTAAAACTGCCAACAATTTTTAATGTCTTCTTTGGTTTTTCATGACAACCTGAAAGACTGAGGAATGAGACTGTTTTGAAGTGACTGGCAGGGAGGGGTTCTGAGGTTGGTGTTACCTCACTGCCTCTTCCTTTGGTTTTGTTCTGCTGAATTCATTTCTTCTGTTCTTCCCTCTATTTGCTCTTCAGTCTGTTGTGTATGCGAAATTGAACACAGTGTAGAGAGGAGTTGATACCAAAGGTTTTTGAAAGTTGCTTTAAATGCAAGGGTTTTACAATTGGAGAAGTAGATCCGCAGCCTTAACCTTATCACCACAGTGTGCTGTAACTGAAGAATGCCCAATATTTTTTTTCTCATTTACTTTTTCTATTTTTCACTGGTTTCTAACGCCTGGAAAGCACAGCATGGAGGGCTTCTTGTGTGCAGTTCCTCTTGCTGTTTATCACATCTAAAATGTGTTCTCAAAGTCCTATATCCCCTGTTTCTTCTTCCTACAATGCCTCTGAAATGTGGAAAATGATAGTTTGGCATCACATTTCCATTTGGCAACATGTTAATTAATGTGATTGTAATTGGAAATCCTGACAATGATTTTGTTCACTTTCATCTTCCTGGGATTTCCTGGATGGAGTGGCTTTGGGGATATGCACAACAACTTTACACAGCAACATTTTACTCTGCAAATCAGAAACAGAATTTTTAACAAGATGTTACTATAGAAAGAAACCTTACAGACATCTTCTGTTGAAAGTATTGAGAGTCAACGTAAGTTGTGAAATAAGTAATGTTCTCTAATAGTCATGTCAGTAGTCAGAATTGTGTTTTTCTTAGGTGGGTTTCGTTTTTACATGTAGAATGTCGTTTAAAAGTTTTATCCATTGAGTTTTTTTTAAAGCTAACTCGTGCTTTCTGATGCTGCAGACACTGAACCACAGAAAACTTACAAGCACACGTTGAGTGCTTCCTAGTGTAAAACCATAAGATCTAGCACAATGCTTGATTTTTTTCAACACCTTCTGATCTAACTGTAAAAAACAATGCGAAAATAAGGAACAAGTCAATCCTGAATACTGTAGCTGTTTGAGTACCCACAACACTTGCAATACATAGCCTGAGCACGGTGGTCTCAGATCTTTCCTGCTTTACTGGCCCTGGAGCTTTTCAGGCCAAGTGGTTATGTTCTGTATTTATTTCAGGATTTGCAGTGCCGGAATTCCCAGGGCCTATGAACTTTTTAGGGCTACGAAAGAGGGAAACACTAGTGACTTACAAAAAACAAGCTGAAACAACATGCTTGCGATCGACTAGATGCTCCAAATCAATAATCATACGCCATCTAGCGGCTGTTGTACAAACTAGAACTATCGAAGTGATGGTCACACGACTTGCTCCATCAATCACGTGGTTTAGCATTAGAAAAGTTTAATGTACATCATGTCAATCGACGTCATTCAATTGGCATTTACCCCTCTTTTTGCACATTTCGAAGTGAAAGTCCCTGGGGCCTAGAAACACCAAAATCCAGCCCTGGGGATTTGCATAATCTTCCTCCAGTGTTCTACTCCCAGACATGCCCGCTGTGCTCTACTGCCATGGTGGGAACTCTAGCAGGAGAGCTTCCGCTGTGTCCTCATGGTTTTCACTAACACTGCTGCTCTCCGCCAGGGGCCAAGCCCAAAGCTGCGCCTCAATGGGAAATCCTACCCAAGCGCACGGCTGATTCGGGGCGGCTCCCGGCCCCCCATCAAGAGGAGGACCATGAGCTGGATTGACGTCCCCGATGACCTCCTCTTCATGGCCAACAAGGAGACAAGGTGAGAGACAGAGGAACCCCTGGCATTGTTCTAATGTATGAACAGGGGGATTGTTAAGTTAGCTGGCCTATTCAGAGAAGTGCATGTTATAATCTTCAAACTATCTAGAAATTAAATCCGGTCTACATGCTAATGTGATGAGAGTATCCACCACAGGGTTATTAAATCAGTTAGTGCCCTCTGGTGTGTTCTCCGCTGACCTTCTGGTATGTGCACTAAATTTCACCTGTTGAACAGGGCAGTTTTCACAATGCAGTCACTTGAATAGGCTGAAATACCAAATCAAATATTGCATTAAATTAATAATATAACAAATTTGATATTATTTTGTAAAATATAAATGATGAATGCATTAGCATATCCTGAGTGTAGCCATTTCTTCATTGATGTAGTTTCGCCATGAGACCTGTGGGTAGATGTTTGAAAATTGTGCTGTGGGAACCTTTTTTCTTGGATTGGTCCCAAATTGGTTCTAGTTCCTAGGTTAAAAAAGGCCAAACATTTTTTAACTTTTTTTACAAAATCCATCTCGAAATTATGATAATAAAAGCAAACTGCCTTCTGGATTTTCACGTCGTCTCTGTGAATTCATGATCTGTATTACAATAAAAATAGTCCAGTTTGTCATTGGGTCGCAAGTGTCTGGTGGGGTTATAGAGTCAGCCTAAAACCTAGGATATGGTTAAAAAGTGGGTGAGAGGAGTGTTTTCCACTCATGTGGTTGAAGCCTGGATGAATGAGACCCACATATTGATAAGCTAGTGAAATTCATGTGACCTGGATGGCAGAGAGACCTTCTCTTGTTTGTAACCTTTATTACATTGTTACATGTAAAACACTAGTGTAATTTTCAAATACTGAGTTTAAGATCATTAAGTTGCATAATCTGTTTTTTCCTACAGCACTACTGGCATGAGTCTCAGTTGGTGGTGCTGATGAGATTGTTTGGGATAGTGAAATGTCATGTCTGACAGAACTCTTGATCCAGTAGACTTGGAGAAAGTGACCAGAGGGCGTACAGTAAATTACTGTAGCACAAGGATTAGAAGTGCTGGTCCAGGCAATACGTAATCCATCAGGTCATATAGGTCATCATTAACTTATTCTTACATAAACTCAAGCCTCTGTATCCATCAGAGATTTAGGTCAGTTTAGCAAGTTAATTTGGTCTCGCTTCATTTTCATTACAGCTCCGGAAATCATTTGATAATGTCTTGTAAATTAAATCGTTTCAATGGTGTAGGAATTGATCCTACACCATTGGTGAGGGTTGATTTTCGATATAAAAGGCTGACATGGTATAGCTCTCCAGATTCAGGATTGCCTATCCTTACACTAAACCAGGTGTAGTACTATAGACACAGCTCCTTGTCTTATCTCATTCAGCACTTTTCAGATTTTCACTTTGATGCAGTGGAACCATAACATGGCAATTAAAGCTTTTAAGAGGAAATTTGAATATCAAGAAGATAGGAGCATCCCATGTGCTTTTACTCTACACAGTAGTTTAAAAACCAAAGGGTAACATCTGCTGCTGTAATCGTGCTTTCTGTCTTGCACAGGAAAATCCGAAAGCTCATTGCAACTTCAGAGACCAAGCGAGCTGCGAGGCGACCCTACGCTCCAATCGTCATCGAGCCGAGCCAGACTGGCCAATCACTGAGACCGCCTGTCAATGAAGAACCAATAGTCATTGAAGACTGAACCTTGTTCTGGCCAATCACACACACTGAACCTGACTGTGTTTATTATTACTGTTATTATTGTTTTTTATTTTCCAACCTTAACCCTGACAGATCAGTAATTGTGGATCAACGAAGAAACACTTTGAGTTTCGTGAAATGCTTGTATTCCCAAAGATGAGGGAAGGGACATTTACTTTGTAATATAAGCCACGTGAGTATTTTTTAACACGTTAAAAATGATAAAAAAAGACAGTTAACTGCAGTGACATACTGTAACTCCCTTTGTTTCTTTTTGCTTTTTTAAGCTGATAGTTTCTGTTTTGTGAACAGGCTTTGCTGTACCCTTCTGGAACAGCCAGTTTAACTTATTGAGAAAAATATCCAATGTGCCGTCTTTTGTACCTTTTTCTTAACTGACATCTGCGCTTGAATGATGTAATTAAGAATAAATCAGTTCTTTCTCTTTTGTGAATATATAAATAGAAAACAAGACAAAGGTCTGTTTTTTTAAACCAATATTTTCTTTCTGGGGTTTGAAACATGAAAGCAAGATTGTGACTGCCATGCTCAAATCCATCCTATGTATCACTCATTTATCAGCAGAAAAACAAAATTAATTTAGTCTTGTTTGGTCTGCTTGAAAAACAGGGAGCAGTTTATGCTCAAAGTACTCCACTCTTATTTTACACAGCCATGGCTTAAACACTGGTTCTAGAGCCATTTATCATATATATTTTAAAGAAGAGTAAATACACTTGAAACGTGTGCCTTAATCAAACTGAGCAAAGATATCGTATTACTTGGGCACAACACCAAGCATTAAATTGAATTGACCTAAACACAGCAATGTGGCATTGTGACACCACATACAGTATATATATATACACACAAGGTATGTACCATACATATTCCCCAGAAATAAAGTATGTACAAAATATATACCCCACACATGTGACAGTATAGCTTAAATATAATGTGA